CTAATATACACTGTACCATTAGCAACGTTTTTTAACTTAATTAATGCACACAATAATTGATTTTTAGGCCACCTGAGTCACCCAGGTGACCTATTGCTATCCGTTCTCGTCCGTCGGCGTGCGTCGTGTGTTAACATTTGAACATTTTTAGCTTCTTCTCTGAAATCGCTTAACCAATTTCAACCAAATTTGGCATATAGCATCTATGGGTGAAGGGGAACAAAAATTGTGAATTTCATGGTCCCTGCCCCCCTGGGGCATGAGGGGTGGGGCTAAAACCACCAAAAATAATGCAATCTTTAAAAATCTTCTTCTTTACTCCTGGACATCAAGCAGTCAAACTGTTGGCATCATTGTAATAAGCATTGAGCCCTCTACCAAAATTGTGAAATTCATGGCCCCAGGGTCAGGGGTTCTGGCCCCATGGTGGGGCTATATAGATCATATAGTGAAAGTGCATTAGTTCTTTGAAAATCTTCTTCTCTGCTCCTGGGTATTAAATAAAGTAACTAAGTACATAGTTATGAAGAGCAAGAGTGCCTCTTCCAAAATTGTGAAATCCATGGCCTCAGGGTCAGGGGTTCTGGTGTTAGGGCAGGGCTCTATTGATTATATAGTGAAAATGCATTAATTCTTTGAAAATCTTCTCTGCTCCTGGGTATTATTTAAACAAACTAAGTGCTTGGTTATGATGCATAAGGATGCCTTTTCAAAATTTTTTAATTTCATGGCCCCAGGGTCAGGGGTTCTGGTGTTAGGGCGGGGCTCTATTGATTATATAGTGAAAATGCATTTATTCTTTGAAAATCTTCTTCTCTGCTACTGGAGATTATTTAAACAAACTAAGTGCATAATTATGATAGGCAAAGGATGCCTCTTCCAAAATTTTTAAATATATGGCCTCAGTTTTTGGGGTTCTTGAGGAGGGGGGGGGGGCTCTATTGATTATATAGTGAAAAAGCATTAATTCTATTAATTAATCATTAATTAATCCTGTCTGCTCCTTAGTGTTGAGCTGATAAATAAATTGCTTAGCTACTGATGAAAATGGGAGCTTCGAACAGAATTTTTAAATCTTGTGGTCCTAGGGTCAGGAGTCCTGGCATAACGAGGGGAGGGGGGGGGGGGGCTTTTGATAATATAGTGGAAAAGTGTTAATTCTTTGAAGTCCATAGTTATGATGATGAGGGTAACTCTTCCAAATTTGTAAATTTCTTGACCCTTGGTCTTGGGTTCTGGTGTTAGGGTAAGGCTTTGTTGAATCTGTAGTGAAAATGCATTGTACCTGTGAACTTCTTCTCTGCTTCTGGGCATATCGGAAGCAAACTGAGTAAAAGTTTAAATGATATAAGTAAGCATATTTCTACCAGATTTTTGAACATCTGGACCATTTGTCTAAGCATTCTGATCCTGGGCAGGGCTCTATTAATTTGTATTCTACTGAGAGAAGTTATTCCCCTTTTCCATTCACCTTTGATAATTAATCACTGTAGATAATGTATTTGAAAGGTTAATAGAATAAGATAATTATGCAAGAATGTTTATCGTATAACTCGAGAAGTACTTTCTTTGTTTTAATAATCAGGTAGACCTGTAAGTACTAGATAAATAAACAAGAGGCCCATGGGCCACATCGCTCACCTGAGCACATTGGCAAGGCAAAAGCACAAATCAGTTCAGTGCTGAAAAGATTAAGGGGGGGGGGGGGGCTTGAATTTTTAACTACCTGATGATGCTTCCATGTCAATATAACAAATGGCTTTGTTGTACTTGAGAAAATTTTTAAAAAATTTCCCATATATTCCTTT